TCCTTCGTCTGGATCTATATGCATAACTTGTTTATCATGACCCTTGTAAATATATTTGAAGAKATATTTCACAGATGTTATACTTGAGCAAGCCTCAACATTAATATGACAGTTGAACATCATTAACAATTTTGGGTTATACGAGACAACCCATCTATTATCCAGTGTATTGCCTCGTACATTCACATCTCTTCCAATATTTCTCCTCCGGTATAAYGGATATGAGTTCTCAGCCTGTGATGTCTTATCGTTAAATTGTCTAGGATATCTAAAACGACAGATTTTCGGCTCACCTTGCATGCAAGGACTGGACGGTCGTAAATGACCGCAAGGACCATGCATCATGTGTTGGACAACCAGCTGGTGCATTTCAGGATACTTTGCTGGGTCAGGAATTTCAGCACATACAATCTTGTCGTAATGATAAGGTGGATTCATATATCAAAGATAATATTAATTTTTATTAGTTTAATATATAAATGTGATTTTCGACTCATTTAACTGACTTCAATAATTTAATAAAATACATTATCATTGCGCAATGTGCAATGTCAAAAACTAGTTTAGTTGATAAAGAGACGGGATGAATTTGCCTAAATACAGGACAAGTCTCAGGTTTGATTTTAGATTCCTCATTAATCTCAACCGCTGAGTGAGTCAAAAATACTTTTTGTATTGGTATACTTAAAAATAGGTTTTATATGAAACGAATTAGAAATGTTTATAATGAACTTTTCATTCAGATGTTAATGAAATTGTAAAGAAAGAAACATGAATAATAATGATGATTATTATATTGAAAACTAGACATTATAAATAGGATGAATTATATGAAAAACTAACGTATTTTAACTTGATTTATATTTTGGATAATGTACTTTTAAAACTTCTATTTTGATACCTAAGATGTATTTAAATACCCGGGTAACTGGTTGAAACATTAACCAATTACCATGTTGATGTGCTGAATGATATGATATCCGACTCAGTATTATTTATCATTCAACCCAATTTCATCTCATCACTCGTTACATCAGCATGGTAGATGATTAATGTTTCAACCGGTTACTTGAATACTTAAATGTTTACAACTTTACATCTTAAGTATCAAAATATATTACCTAAAATATAAATCAAATTAAAGTAATTATAAATACTTTGATTTAAAAATTATAATGCTTGTATTAAACGGATGTGTGTAACACAAATCTCAAGTACCAACATTATCGGTGTTTTCAACTCCTTGGATTAAAAAGACAAGTGTCAATCATATATGGATTTATCATTAAATATAAAATGTAACGTGTTAAATTACTATACAAAAACGATTTATAAATTTTGCATATATAATATACATAGATAGTTTTTTAAGAAAATGTAGCAAATTATAGTGACTAGAAATATTAATTTTTTCTTTTAAAAATTAAAACTAAATAAAATAACTATAATTTTAAAGCAACTTTAACAAATTCTTTAAAATAGAAAAAATAGAGTTTTTACTTTATGGGGGAGGTTAATGGCATCCCTACCCCTTACTAAGGACACCCTTATCTCCTATGCAATCATTTTTTTTTGTTTTTATATTTTTGTCTTTTTGTTGTCTTTTTCTTTGTTATACTAATTTTTTTAGTTATTTGATTTAATAATAATAGTATTATATATATATATAAGTGAAGATAATAAAATTATAATAATTTTATAAATAAAAGATATTATATAAATATTATACAATATCTATAAAATATACGTGGAGAGTATATATATATATATAATGATAATTAAATATTAAATATATTATTAAATCGATTTGATATTTATAGATTTTAGAAATGCATAATTTCCAAACAATCAACACCCCTTATCAAGGGGTGTCATTAGCAACCCCCCTCCTCCTCTCCCTCTCTTTTAAAGGGGGAGGCTAATGGCATCCATATGGTTACCATTGGCACCCCTAAGTAGCTTAAAGATGATTTGTTTTATGGATTTTTGTGTTTTTTTTTGTCCTTTTGTTATTATTAGTTTTTATTTTATTATTATTTAAAAAAATTATTAATTTTATTTTCAGTTTTTTTATTTATTTATATTATATTTTAATTAATATTTAATATATATTATTTATTTTATTTTC